ACGATATCAAAATTTCTCTCGATTCCGATTCTCTTGAATACTTTCTACAGTTTATTTTAATTTAGAAAAATTAGTGATTTACATGACGAGTATGGCACATTCATTAATTAATAAATATCAAGCTTAAGAATGGAAAACGATTGAGAAATCCAGAACCAATTTTTCGAAAGAAACCTGAAAATTCTCCATTTATATGTGTGTGAACCGCCGGGAGGGTATAGGTCTCCCGATCCGGCAACAGGTTGTTAAACCTTCTCATTGTCAGGATGGATTAAAATTTATCTCTTTTTTCCGCTGTAACGGGATTTAATGTTTCCAGTGGCGGAGGGAGGAGTGCCGTCGGTAAGATGACAGGCGATATACGAGTAAAAGAGGACACCAATTTAACAAGATAACAACGATTTATTAGCTACATAGATATTACAATAACTAATTTCAAGGGAAAAATCTGAGTCCCTAAAACGCGAAGGGCCGAGAGAGAGTTCACAAAAATTTGTTCCATACCTCTTTATGTCTTTTAATTATCCTTGAGGAAAATGATTATGATATCCAGTGGGTTGGTAGGATAAGGATAATAATTTTGCAGGACACAGTATATCAATCGGGCACAATATTCATAGGACACAGTATTAAAGTGACAGCGGATGAACGACTCCCCCGAGAGGGGGAAGCAAGTGGCTTTTATAGTTTCGTCGTGGGAGAATGGTCATGTGACCAATTGTTGTGAGGTAAAAGATACGCGGATGAGTCAAAGTTGTTCCCGGGTCCATGCTAACTATCAACTTAGGAGTTGGAATGAGGGATTGTTTTCGAAATGGACGGATGTTTACTTTGAACGAAAGAGGAGATTGGAATTTTTCCCTTTTTTTAAGTTAGGTTTTAGTTTAGAATTTAAAGGAAAATTTAATTGGGGGTTTAGAAAATTGTGGGATATTAATCGGAAAATTCGGTAAAAATTCCGGATTTCACATGTGAATATGCGTGTTTTTATGGTGAAGTATAAAATAAATTTGAAGATTTATATACAGATTTATTGCAGATAAAGATTATACAGATTTATTTATGTAGAATTGTTGCAGATGAAGTTAATATTGCAACACTCCCCCGAAAGAAATTACAGCTAACTCCCTTTTACTCAAAGAACTATCCCATTGTGTCATATAAAATCACCATCTTTGGAAACTTCGTTGGCCGACGCGATAATCGGGGAGAAGGGGGTAAATGAGAAGATGTACGTTTTCAATGCTTCTGACAATCGGTATGCCTCGTGAATGATTTAATTCCATCGTATTTAACACTAAATGAGGTTTGGCAAATGATGCAACGAGCCGAACAAATACCATCATCATCGTAACAAAAACTTTTATTTTTATAAGTAAACATAATAAATATTACCCTCGGTATAATACCAACTGGGTGGCAACCTTATTGTGCCTAAAGTGGAGACAATTAGTACCGACCAAGTTCAATCTCTCGTCACTCTGACTACGCGAAAGAAAAGTCCGCCACGACAGACATCACCTCGTACTTTCTGCTTTGTCAATACGAACGTTTCCAATAAAAGGCCTACTTGTACTAATTGTTAATATTGTAATTAATTTTCTTATTAAATGTAAAAGAATCATTTTAAGAATCGAAAATCGTGACGAGATTTTCTCGATTCCGATTACCGGAAAATGCCCAATTTTTCCGATTTCCGATTACTGTATACGATATTACTACTTACAGTAGAATACCCCTATATTTGCGAGGTAAAAACACATCGATTCGGCATCTGGATCTAGAGAAAGCATTCGCAAACTGCAGATATTTTCTTCAGGTCCGTTATCGGGATCCGTTCTAAATGTTTCTACTGAATAGTAATGGACTTTTCAATAAAACGGACGAGTTAGTAATAACGAGTGATCACGATAAAAGGAACATTTATTATAACGGACCAATTTCTTCTGCGCGTTATATCAAGTTTTTACTGTATTTATTATTTACGTCAACAGTTGCAGTTTTTATTCTATCTATATCTGCAAATATAACCATCCAGTGTATTGTTTTTTAATGCTTAGCCAGTAAACAAAAATTAAACATTTTTTAGAATTTGAAATAAGATGGCCACATTTAATATTCGAACAGATGTGTAACAAAATAAGAAAAATAAAAAGGAGATAAAATAAACATTTCCGTTTTATTATTTATAATAAAAATCGTGTATTGATTCAGCTGATATCTTACCTAATCTATCTTTACTGTATATACAGTAGAGCATCGATTATCCGACCCCCGATTAACAGTCACCTCGGTTAACCGACCGCGTTCTAGTCGGCAAATTTCAAATGTCCGCTAGTGATGCGGCGCTACAATATTTGGCTATGTCTCGGCTACTTTAATATTATTTTTGTTAAATTTTTGCGTGTTTTAGCTGGCAACACTGACTCGACCATGAAAGGGAGGCCAGTATTTAAACGAGACTTAATTGTGTAATTATGAGTGGTTGTTTATTTTGTGAGCAATAAAATAATTTAAAAATAATTTTTAACGATACAATAGCGACGATTATTATTTTAAAAAATTTTGTTAGGCTTAACATCGATGAAAATTCAACGCGAAATAGGTTAATAGCGATATACTAATATACTAATTACATGGGATATACTAATATACTATACTAATAAAGTAGTTTTTTCGTTTTTTTTCGGTTATCCGACCAACCTGAGTCCCCAATTGAGTCGGATAATCGATGCTCTACTGTACATAAAAATGAATACTCTTTGGTTTGTATGCTTATCTTTTATACAAATCTTTATTCTTAAATCGAAGTTTAAACCGAAATCTAAAATTAAAAGTTTAAATCGAAATCTTTAAACCGAAGTTTATATGAGTTTTGCTTAGATTCTAGAATCGACACTAAGCTATATACTACACCAAAATATTGATTAATTCGTACATATAAATTAATTTCTGCCTACATACAATTGCAGCCGGTACACGTGGCGCCATCTTTTGGCCAAACATGAAAAAGTAATTTAATTCACACAAAAAAGAATATACCTGTAATTCAAAAATACAAATATTATATCCACTTAATTATTTCGACAATGATATACCCTAGAACATTATTATAATTAAGAAAGTACTATTTAGAAATAAAAATACTCGAATTGTTAGGTATGGAAAACCAAATACAGTACTGTACTTATCTAGCTTCCACAGTATAACACAATACAGGTATACCTCGACTTACGTCGTTTCGAGTTACGTCGTTCCCGATTATACGTCGTTCGTCAAAAAATTATATGGAAAAATAAAAATCAAGTTTAAGTCATTTTATTCGACTTTACGTCCGTCCGCCAAAAATATTGAAGTCGTAATATCACTAGAAAAATATTTAAAGCACATAAAATCATATTAAAATATGTACTGTACATTTACAAGTATGTACTGTATTTACAGTACATGCATTCGTAAATTTAGATTACTTTTTTTCTGTACTATATTAAAAACTAAAATTTATTTGTTTGTAAGCTTAAAATAGATCCTTGTTAACCATACATTATTAAAAATGCGTTAATAAATAAAATGCAGAACCGGAATTGGCAATTTATGGTTTAGCCTAGTGACAAGTAGATTTGGAGACAAATAAATTCGGCTTAAGTCGTTCTCCTGGAACCAATTACCGACGTAAGGCTAGGTATACCTTGTACTTTTATTTGGTGGCTTTTTTCGTGAATGACACGACTTCCTTTACAATATCAGTAGCATTTCTTCTTCCGCCGATCTTAAACTCATTTCAGCCGCACGGCCGAGTTTTTCGGGGTCTGTATAATATTCAATAAGGTGACGAACTTTTCTTCTTTTTATTGAATCGCTGCATTTTGCAAACATTTTTCGTAATCGTCCAGTAAGAATTTTTAGCTTCAGTGTTTTCCCGCAAACCTTCGATGTAATTCCTGTAGATACGCAGCTGGAAGCTAAAAATTTAAGCTTTAAGCCGCATATCGTCGAAAAGATTTTGTGCATCGCGAGAAAATGCATCAGAAAATAAAGTAAACCGTTTCTCACGATTCCTAAAATTAGTAAAACGTTTATCAAATTCTTCTAACAGACTCTGCATAATTTTTAAATATTTTTCTGATCGTACGATAATTGATGCTTTATCGTTTTCTGTTTCTACGATTCTGCTCGATTCAAAATGATATAAATTTCCATTTTGAAATTGTTGTCGTACAAATAATTGAAGTTTTTGTTCTGTGGCCTTCACACGACCAATAAGATCAAAAATAAGCTTGTGATAACATTGTAATTTTTTATTGAAATCGTTCGTAACATTAATTTATATCAACCAGGAATGTCAACTGATATCTTGTAATTTTTCAATTAAAAATCTACTGGTTGTAGCTGGCCAAAAGGGCGATTTATTTCGTTTAAATAAAATTGTAAACACCAATTATTTACGGATTTTCGTAATGATTCAAATTTAATTTTTTTTCCTTTTCCCGTTATATTATTAAAATTACTGTGGTGTGAGCGCCCATAAAAATTCACTTTTAAGCGAAGAACAACAACAACGGAAACACGATTTTATTTTTTAAAGTGAATTTTTAAAGTTGTAACGTGGTATAATTTTTATGTTCTTTTCGTAAAAGAGAAAATTATCTGGTAAGAATTCAAGATGGAGGATGGTCCAACGTCGCGGGCTGCATTCGGCCCGAGGTCCGCACTTTGCGAATCCTCGTTTTAAAGCGATCAAAATTTTAGTTTGTCACGAATAATTGAAATAATATTAGAATGCGAAGTAAAAGTATTACTTCCTTTCGGATCTCTGTTACAAATTAAAATAACGTAACGAAATAATACAGTATTAATAATTGTATTTAAAAGTTCCGTAGCTAAATTAGTCGTATCTATCGTTAAAACTTATTAATTGAATATATCAATAAATTGTTTCGTACGAAACGGGCGAACAAATAAATTGACTAGTTTTAGCCTACTCCGATTTGTCCCGATAAAGCGAGGCCGTGAAATTCCCACAAAAGCCTTTTATGGAAATATTCATTCTATTAACCGATTAAATCTTTTCATTCAAATTTAAATGCCATTTTTTAAAACATATATTAACCGATCGACGATTCTCGTAATAATTTTTCAAAATTAGTACATCGACGAATAAGAAAAGCCATCGGCCATTGGCTGGCAACCGCAGAGTCTTTTACTACGTCACGGTGTCTGGGTTTGAATATGACGGGTGGAGGTCGGTGTCGGTCAGTGGTGGATCGTGACCAAAATAGTACAAATATCTGGACAGGTGATTAAAGTAACATATAAGGTTAGTAACTGTTAGAAACGTCTATTTTATGTATAACCACGTTTCTATATATCGACGTGGCCGTTTGTCCATATATAATTGACGTTTAGAGTCTGTTCGTCAATTATCTACCGAACTATATGTAGAGATCAAATTAAATTATTAGATATATTAGTGTTGACTACCGAATTCCGCATTGGAACTTGTTGATTAAATCAATTATTTTTCCCTTCTCTCTTTCCGTATTATTTTCGTAATCTGTTTCGCCTCGACGTTTACTTTTTCTGAAATAATAATAATTATTATATTATATTTATTCTAATATGTTTTATATTGCTTCAAATTTAAAATGTGTATATATATATATACATATTCAAAAGTGTCTCATATTTACCCACATTGACCCTAAATAATAAACGCATTAACTTTCACCAACCGAAAACAGTTTCTACCTCAAACTGGTACTAACACCCATTCTCCGTGCTCGGAGTCAGTCAAGGTCCGGAATCGCTCGCCTCGACCAACGGTCGCCCACGTCTCGGCACTCACACGAAGACGAGCCCCAGACACACACAAAACTACATAACGTCGAGTACTCTACGAACGGTAGAGCGGACCACTCGCACCGAACAGTTAAATGCCGTAGTCTTACAACGACTCCCAAACACGACCCAGTTTTGGGGCGCCGTATCCGGCAACGGGTCGGACGTAGAGGTACGATGCCTTTGACTTTTTCACTCGTAGGAGCACGTTCTATAACTCCGTTAAGGTCCAACGACGTCATTCAATCCGTATTTATGTCACCGGTTGGCTTATCCAGCCATATTAAAGCAGATTTACCACAAATCACGGTTTACAAAAGAAATTGCGTCAAACGGTACCACGTGACGTAATTGACGTTTATAACCATCGCACGTCACGATATAAACGTTTATCGTAATAAACATAAACATTTTCCGCGAATATTCGTCACTTATCCGTAAAAACAAGCGCTTATGTTTCACATTTTCATTTTAATATTTTT